TAGTTCATGAGGCTTCCTTCCCGGAATTGTTCAAAAGGGTGGTTTATGCTTAGTGGACCGCGTCGAAATGAACTTTTTATTAAAGCCAAATAGCTGCAGAACAACTAAAGTTGTCCATTATCTTCGAGTAAGATCATTCAATCAATCTCTTCATCATGCACCTTCATACGAAATGAACTTCTCACCAACATTGTTATCTTAAGAGAAATATCGAAATCCAGTAACTCCTCGTATCTACTTACTCGCGTTAAACCCATTGAAGTCATTAAGACAAGGATACCTTCAAAAAATCACGAAAGGATGCTTTAATTTTCTGAGTAGGGTCTCGAGTTATCATCCTATTTCGTTTAAGGTGATAAATAAATGGTAGTTGAATTTGTCACAATAAGCTGACGTTTCCATTGAATTTCGCATAGCCTTGTTTTCCCAAAATATGTTCTCATCCAGGGTAGACTACAGTTTCTCATATAACTGACTTATTGATATTCTCGAAACCCTACTTATAAACGAAAAATAAGTAATGTAATTGATTGCTAAAGCAAATATAGCTTTACTTTATCGACAACCTCACCAAAGAATATGATATGGGAAAGTGTCTGACCTTCCTTGAAACACATCTGCCCTATGACCCAAGGGCGCTCGTGGCAATGCGGCATATTGGTTAACTTGCCGAGATTACGCGCCTCATTGTCATTGTTTGAGTCCCGCTGGGAATGTTGGGAAGATCTATGCGAGGTCGGAATTACAGTCCACCTTGGATGATAATATCTTTTGAGCAAGCAAGGTTAAATGAAATTCAATGGAAGCGTCTTCTCTACTCATATCATTGTGGGAAAATTCAACTACCGGTCCTTCGTCACCTTAGATAAAATAGGGTGAATACATTTCATATGCTTTACTTTACAAGACTATTCTTTACTCTCTGTAGAGCACGATTATATTTTATATACTCTTAGCAAATTAACTTTATACTAATAATCTAAAATCTTATTCTATCCTTTCTATACTAATGATCGTTGTGACTAACGCAGGTTCTGACAAATCGCGCCCTCGTGTCTGGAAGTGAATCACGCCCGAGTGCCATCTACAATCGGCACACCAATACACGTATTGTTTTTCGCGTCACGCATGCTAAACGACGTCCTGGGGTTCATGCTAGTAGGAATAGTGGTGCTGGGGGCGGCGATGATGACAGTGCAGCCAGTTCAGAAACTGGAAGCTACGCCCCTTCAGCGCCATCCGCTTCGCACCGAATGTCCCTTGGTGGTAGTGGTCGGGGAAGGGGCCGAGGTAGAGGTCGACGCAGACGATGTTCGGATGAAGAGGATCCTGATTTTGAGCCAGATTTGCCCGAAGAAGAAGTTCTTCCATTTCCAATTATGCGCAAGAAAACCTACTCTGGACGTGTTTCAAAGCCTCCAAAACATCTGGTGAGTCACATCATAGTTTTATGACACATTTTGACCTATTATTTTTTTCGTAAGCTGCAGGCTTTCTGCACAGTATAAATTGCTAGCCTGACAGGTGCTTTTAGTGTTCTGGTTCATAT